TGAGATATATTTTGTTGCACATGATTTCAGTGTTATGATTATTATGTTCGTATGTGTCGTTTACCTTCGTCATCTATTCACGCTACGTGATACCAAACTCAGTATATGTGGAGCCAGCAAAACGGCCGCGATCATGCTATGAGCCAGGTATATTGTCATGTTCTTACATGACACGCGTGTCAGGATTATGATGGTTGCACCAGTCACATATTTCGTCATCCATTGACGTCACGTAACACCAAATTTGGTACACGTTGAGCTAGCAAAATGGCCGCAAGCGCATCACGAGAGCCCAATATACTCCAATGCAGCGTTGACGCGCGCGCACGCTTGGCACAGCGAAGCTACGTTAGCAAAACGCGAGCACCCTATAGTCTGACGCCAGGCTCGACCAGCGTGGTGGTGGTGGTGGAAAACATTTAATAAGAAAAGCAGAAAGAGTTGCACTACAAATACACTTGGGTGGTCTCCTTATTCCAGAAGTCCTTTGGAGGTCATCGCTGCTCGGGGTCATCGCTGCTCGGGGACATCAGGGAGCGCTGAGCGTCCCGGGTGGAGCATCCGCGCAGAAGCTCCTCCCAAGCCTCTCTTGTGGGTAGGGGGAAGAGGAATGAAAAAGGAAGAGGTATAGCTGGGCATACTGCAATTATGTGGTACGTGTCAGCCAGCACCCCACAGTGCGCACAGTAGCCGTTTATACCCAGCATGAAATGCTGGGCGGCTGCAGGACACAAGAAGGTGTTCGTCTGCAAGCAGCTCAGAAGTCGCTCGTCCGCTTTAGAGAGACCCCGCGCAGGTTCTGGGTAAAGACGGTGCGAGTTTCGGTGGTAATCCAGGATTTCGCGGTACTTCGTAAGAGCTGAGGTGTCTAGGGGAGACGCGGGGTCGAAAGAGGTAACGGCCCGGGAGAGAGAAATGCAGGCAGCGGCATGAGCCGCTTCGCTACCGGGGAAACCCGCGTGTCCAGGAGACCATACTATGCGGATGGAGTGAGGTTCAAATCGCCATGAGGCAGCCTGGAGAAGGTCGGCGGCCAGAGGAGCTATGATACCTTGCAGGTATCGGGAACAGGCAATGCGTGAGTCCGTGATAATCACTCTCGCTGAGCGGTGAGAGGCTATCAAAACGATGGCTATCTCTTCAGCCCGAGTTGCATCCGGTGAGCGGAAAGAGATACCGTCAACGTGGTGACCCTCGGATATCACTGCGGCCGTAAAGTGTGCCGAGGAGGTTGGGCCTGAGACATCTACGTAGAAGACACCAGGAGTGTTGGAGTATTGAGTATGGAGAAATTGTGTTCGGGCTGAGCGTCTGCCTGTAATTTGTCTGGGATCCATGTTGCGAGAAATAGTCTCGACCCAAAGTTTTTCTCGCCACAGCTCAAGAACGAAGGAATCTGGTGGTGGAGTAGAGATCGGGTTCAGTGAAAGCCTGTTAAGAAGGCGGCGTCCATGAACCGTCTGGCACAGGCGGTCAATTTGATTGGTGCAATGAGCCTCCCACAACTCGGTATACGAGTTGTGCACACCCAAGGCCGCAAAGCGGCGATTGGAGGTAGCAATGGGGAGGTCTAGTGCTCGCTTATAAACTGATCGGAGCAATTGGTTCTTGTGGTGGCGACGCAAGCGAAGGTATGGGGTAGCGTAGAGGACTCGGCTGGTTACAAACGCGTGAGCCAAGCGAAGAGAGTGCCGACCGCGAACGGCGCAACGTTTGGTGGAGACCCGCGGAATCATACGGCTAACCTGGTCAGTAGTGCGCCGAAGACGCGCAATGGTGGAGCCAGGGTTCATAGTAGAAGAGATGTAGAGGCCCAATATGCATAGTTCTGTGACAACCAATATGGGGCCAGATGGCAGAGATATCTGAGGTGCCGATAGAGATGATACCGAGAGAAGTGATGATTTGGTAGGGGAACGCTCCAGGCAGCATAATTAGACGTAAGTGTCCACAATAAGTGACGCGCGCTGTATGCGGTCTTCAAATTCTGCAGGTGAACCCGAATTGGTCCAGATAGTGGTGTCATCTGCGTATAGAGCGTGCTGTATGCCTTCGACCTGAGCGAGGAGTGCAGGAACTTTGAGCATACCAAAATGAAAAGGATGGGTGATAGAACCACTCCCTGTGGTGTACCGCGGGTGCCTAATGTATACGTACCATGTTCGGCAGAGTCGATGCGGATGAAAGCGATGCGATGTGAAAGGAATGACCTAATGTACCGGAAAGCTTTCGAGCCACAGTTCGTGCTGTTAAGATGGTAAGGATGATGCTATGCTTTACATTGCGAAGGCACCCCGGAGATCGAGGGCTAGGAAGGCTTCTTCGTTGTGGCGCATCGTATTAGGTACAATGATGTCGTGCTGGAGTTGGAGAAGGACGTCCTGCGCAGACAGTTGGGGGCAAAACCCGAACATCGAGTCACCATAGACGCCCTTCCTTTCCAGGTACGCGGACAGGCTGTCGCAGACCATGGTCACCATAAGTTTGGCCGTGCAATAGGTAAGCGAGAAGGGTCACAACGCCTAAATGCGGACGGGCTTGCCTGGTTTGAGAATGAATGTGACCACCGAAGTGGTCCATTCTGGGGGTAAGGGTTTACCGCCCCATACTGCGTTTATCAAATGTAAGAGCAAGAGTTGTGCGGAATCTGGAAGTTTGGCTAATAGAGTGACTGTAATGCCATCCCTACCTGGTGCAGAACCTCGCTTCATTTTAGCTAACGCCTCCCGAAGATCGGAGAGCGTGAAGGGGGCATGAAGTTCTCAGTTGGGGAGCCCGGAGTGACGTACTCGGAGCCCATGAGGTCAATCGTACGACAGAAATAGTGGTCACAGGGGTCGTTTGTGAGTTGGCTCGTCAGGCCCTGGTAGGCATAGTAAGCGCGGCGAAGCTGGCGTCGTGTTTCCCCACGGGTGGTAGAGGGATCTAAGAGGCTCCAAAATAGTCGCCATTTATTTTTTGAGCTCATCTGACCTGCAGCCTTCACGCAGGCATCGACCAAATTCGCATCTGCAAGCTGGGCAAAGTAGGCAGCAGACTCCGTGGTAAGCATTTCAATGCGGAAGCGAAGCTTACGATTTAGCTTAGATCGTCGCCACCGGCGGGTAAGGCTGTGGCGTGCATCCCAAAGGTGGAGGAGGTAGAGATCCACTGCAGGGGCTGATGTGGAAGTGGGAATGTGTTTGGTGTGTGATTCCTGTGTATGAAGGGCGTATGATGCCCACGCCTGGTAGTCCTCTGGGGAGGAGAGCAAGGGGAAAGGCTTAGTGCGAACAGCTGACCAGTCCGTGATACGGGCTTGACCACAGATTTCGCACATTTTCCACGTCAAGAAGGCGATCTTCAGCAGAAAATGATTACTCTCAAGAGTGTCATCGAGGTTTTTCCACGTAGCCTGCCGAATGTTACGCGTGAGTGAGAGGTCTGGACATCTCTCGCGTCACCGAATTTTTTATATGCGTGGGATGTGCTGGGTCAGTGAGCAGTGTAAAACCAAGAGTGGATATAAGTTCTTTAAGCTTCCGGCCGCGAGGCTTTTGAAAGTGGTATCTCCAGTGTGGGCTAGGAGCAAAGAAGTCTCCGACCACCACCAAGGGTTGCTGAGCCACCGCTTGGAGAGGCCTGTAGAAGAGTTCCGCAAAAGTGACCAGCTATATATGTGGGGGACAGTACACATTAAGAATATGAATTGATGGAGTACCTCGTTTCTGCAGAAGAACGGAGATCTTGCAGTAAACGTAGGGGAGGTCTAGGTCTAGATCGACCTGAACAGCCGTATATGTTTTGTGAACAAGTAGACTAGGGGTAGTGCCGCCTGTATAGGAGCCGTAGTTGGAGAGGTTAGGGTTTGAACCGCATTCTTGAAGGGCGATGATGGCAGGAAGAGAGCCCCGAGATTGAAGGAAGAGCAGAAGATGTGCACGCTTTCGCCTGTTCCCGATTCCCCTGCAGTTCCATGGCATGATTTTGAATCGAGATGATAGTGAAGATGTAACTGACGGAGTTGCCATGGTGAATATTTAAAGTTTTATGGCCCATCTTTCATGTCTTGCCCCTGACTTTGCAGAGTTAAAAAGGGGACGGAAGCTGGATTGAAAGCCTCTGAAGAGGAACTGGCAACTTTGCGTCAACGCGGGACTGAATTTATGTCCGTAGAGGCCGAGCGTGAGCAAGTTTTGGTGAGAAACTTGGTGACAGCCCAGGCCTGAAGCGCCTGAACCACCTCAGCTACAATGTGTCGAACATCAATGGTAGGCGTGTGGCAGAGAGCAGCACTTTCGAGGTGACTAATTCAGTCCTCCAATAGTAAGGTTTGGTCTATAGGAGAAATGTTCTTAGTTGCCCCCTGAGCTGCAGGGGCAGCCGACGCCGTCGTCGGGGGATTTGTATAACTACGTGGGGTGGGCGTAGCAGGATAGTCAAGTTTAGGGGCGGTGGTTCAACCAATGGGGTAACAGTGGGAGGTACTGCCAATTTCTGCTGTTGCAGTTCGAGGGCAGCGATCTGCTTAGTGAGAGCTGCGATTTGCCGCTGAAGAAGGGCGTTCTGTTTTCGTAGAGTGGAGAGCTCTACGGAAGAAGGGAGAGGAAAGAGAAGGAGAGGCTGATGAGCATTCATCCCTGCCCGGCCGCTTACCTAAGGTGATCCCGTGACAAGTGGCGGGTAGTGAATTCAAGTGGCCGGCGGTTGGGTCGGCGGGTCAGTGAGAGGTGAGTCACGCTTGGCTTGCGTATCCACTAGTACCTGTTTATGGGGGTGCAGTCCGCTTTGGTGTCGATTGTAGCTTAGGTTTCCGATACTTTACTGGGCATCCTCGAGCACCGGTTTCATGTGGCCCGGAGCAGAGGAGGCATGTCGGGTTGCGTTCATGTTGAGCTAGGCCTTCAGGAGTCACTTGGACTTGAGTGCCACAGCGGGTACAGCGACCGGGAGTAGGTCGCGGACAAGCCGAAAGTCGATGACCAATGGTGCCGCAGAGAGAGCAGGCTGGGATGGTTTTCTTATACGGGCGACCGTAGGCCACAGACACTGTGGTAGAAGATGAAGCGGAAGAGCTTCATGCCCTTGAAGGCCACCACAGCTGCACTAGAGTCATCAAGCTGGCGGACCGCCAGGATAGTGCCTTGAGGCCTTTCGAGTTCAGATTTGATGCGCTGCGGGGTTTCAGGCGAGTTGATGGTGATCACACCCCGGCAGATTTCTCCTAACGCCTTGGCGTGGCCCCGAAAAGGGAGCTGCTGGTCTCATACCAGCAACGAAATATCCCCAAGCAGGGGCTGCGCCATGGATAGTGAGGTGACACTGCACACGAGAACGTTTTAGTCCCACACTGGCCACACGTGGAGAGTACTGACCGAGTGTTCTCGCAAGTATGCACGAGTCGCATCACCGACACGATCGGACGAGAGGATAGATTTGAGCTCGAAAGGAGCGCCCGGCTTCAGCACGACGATGTAATTGTCAAAGAGAGACGAGGGGTATGACGTGATCGCCATTTGACTTGACGCATCGGCGAGACAGGAGCTGTGGTGCGCGCACCATCCGTAGAGGGGCACGAGGAGGAGCTGGAGGTCAATGGGGCCAAGATTTTCTGCCCCTGGCGTAAAGCAACGCAATAGTCCTTGATCACTGACTGAGCCGATGCGGGAGCGTCCGTCACCGTTGAGCGCTCCCGGCGTTCCCCGACCAGCGCACATCGGCGCGGCCCGATGGCAACCGTTGTGAAATGCGAAATGCTGCATTTCGCGCCGATGCGTTACCTAGACAACAGTGCGTCTCTCTATTTTCGTGATGGAGGGACGTCGTACGCGCCGAAACGTGCAAGTATTTGGCAGGACCAGTGCTTGCGTGGCAACGCCAGCGTAACGCGACGACATCGACGCCGGCTAGCACGTGCACCACGTCACGTCGAAATGCGTTGGCACCTTGACTGGAGCATGTAATCATGTTCTCACATGATACGCACTTCATCATTGTCATGTTTACCCTAGTCACATACCTTCGTCATCAATTGGCGTCATGGAATACCAAATTTGGCATATGTGAAGCTACTACTTCAAGCTAGTGAAACTGCCGCGAGCGCATCATCAGTGCGGCATGTAGTCATGTTGGTACATGACACGCATGTGGTGATTATCATGCTAAGATGTGTCATTTACTTATGCCGTCTGGTCGCGTCACGTAATACTGATTTTTGTAATTGTGAAACTAGCGAAATGGCCGCGAGCGCGTCATGAGTGTAGCATGCAGTCATGTTGTTACATGACACGCATTTCATGTTTATCATTTTTGCACCAGTACCATAACTTCGTCAACCATTGACGTCCCGTAATACCAAATTTTGTATAATTGAAGCCAGCAAAACGGCCGCCAGCGCATCATGAGCGTGGAATGTGTAGTCATGTTGTTACATGACACGCATGTCATGACTTTCATGTTAGGGTTTCTCGCTTGCGTTCGCCATGCAATCATGCCATACCATACCAGTTTCGCAACATGCCATGTGAACGAAACCACCGCTAAAGCTGCAGGACCAAGAAATGTAAATCATGACAATCATGACATACATCTAATGATTTTCTTGTTATGACTAGTCAAGTGTGTTCTTCATACAGTCATGTTATGCCATACCTGATTTGGTATATATACCATTATCGAAACAGCCAGGAGAGCTAAAAGTCGTAGGCGGCTAGATAGATAGATAGATAGATAGATAGATAGATAGATAGATAGATAGATAGATAGATAGATAGATAGATAGATAGATAGATAGATAGATAGATAGATAGATAGATAGATAGATAGATAGATAGATAGATAGATAGATAGATAGATAGATAGATAGATAGATAGATAGATAGATAGATAGATAGATAGATAGATAGATAGATAGATAGATAGATAGATAGATAGATAGATAGATAGATAGATAGATAGATAGATAGATAGATAGATAGACGCTGAAGTTCGCTAAGAAATGCTTCGCAGTTAAAAGTGATGGCAAAGATGAAGATGTAAAGAGAGCCCATTCGTGTACATCGCATCCAGCATTTCCGTACCTCCTGCCCGTGACTGAGGCTAAATATAGTGATGCGAGTCGTTTCTTATTTTGCTGCGTTATACGCGAACATGATGTAGGGCATTATTTTTTCACAATTTCTTTATTGGACGTCCATGTACAACGACAACAAATTGTCACGTTCCTGATGACAAACTTGCTTTAATGAACTCGTTCAGTAGACTAGCCCAACAGCAGCTCTCACGATTTCCTCCCCGAAGGAAATCGTGAGAAAATGCGAATGTATTACGAAGCGTTCGTAACGGCATTTCACACATCAGAATCCAGCGTTATCAGAATATTGTTTTCTTTTTTTTCTACACCGTGAGGCTGAAAGCGCTGTTTCCCGCACGTAGCGTTTGACTGTCGCGAAAAACGTAGTATGCGTGTCCAGCTCACAGATACACAGGTCCTCTACACTTTAGCAGCACGCTACGCAAAGAATGCAGCGATATGTTTTGACGTTAAAGATGACACAGATGCCCTCGTAGTGTCTGCCACACTACGCCCAACAATTAGTAGTTCCGCAGAATAGGAAGATCTAGCTCTGGCGATTATTCACGCCATGGCATTGTCGTATGGCTCCCTGTCACCATTGCGACAGACACACAAGCTGGTTGCCATGCCTTCACCTAAAACCGTATGCCACAGAACACTTTCTTCTGTGTTGCCGTCCGCATTATGCCCGGTGGGTATTGTCTGAACTTCTGGACACGCCTCTCTCCATGGGTATGAACGCGATCATGCGGTTACGTCTGACCGGCCAGACACCATTGGAGGAGCTTTCAAACCCATACGATGCAAAAACAGAACCACTAAACTGCAACGCGAGGAAAAAAACCACAGCATGTCCGTGGAGTGAATGATGATGATTGAGGGAAAGCGCCCATCAGCCCGTCCATGCATCCGTGCGTCCGTTCATTTTTGCTTCCGTCTATCCACGCAACCATCTGCGCATCCATCCATGCTTTCTTCCATCTGTCCATGCGTCCATTCGTGAGGCCGTCCATCTGTCTGCCCATCCATCCGTTCATACGTCCTTTTATCTGCCCATCCGTATTCTAGGCTGTCTAGTCGTCCATTCATGCGTCCATCTAGTGAACACTACAAGTATCACCATCTTGCATCTCACATCTCCTGTGGCATATACCCTCTCCGCGCATTCGTCAGCACGTCCGTCATGCGTCGATCTAGTGAACACTATAAGTACCGCCATCTCCCATATCGCAACCCCTGTGGGACTTACCTGCTCTAGAGATGCTACGTGCCACCGGTGGCTACGTACACCAACGGAGGAAGGACAGACACACACACTAAAGAGCTTCGCCCCGAAAAGCCGTTATATGTCCCCTCCTCATCATTCACTTAACAGAGCAGATGCTGCTGCTTCGCGCTAATTGCAGACATATTGATTACATTGTCTATATATGCTGAATCCCTTTCATCCGATTCTGGCAGTACCCCTCTTTTTGCCCCTTCTGAGGAACATTACTGCCAGTAAACCACTCTACGTGGGAATGCTTTGCTCCATAGGATGATCCACTCATCCTCAACACCACTCCTTTCTCTTGGGAGTCTGCACGACTTAGCTTACTCTGGCAGGAATAGCAGCAGCGGGACCAGCGGGCTCGCAGGGTTGCGCAATGCAATAGAGCCCCGGATTAAGAGACTCGTCCAACGAAGGCTCTCAGTATGTACGTTCGCCGGTAAACGTTTATTCTCTCTCTAGATAGAACGTGTATGCCACAAATATCGAGCATTCTCGAACCCGCAGGACTTCGCGAAGGGAGGATTTGTGAGGAGACGTCCGGCGACTAAGTACTTGGCAACGGCTTGGCCGTGTCTTCCCTGGGTTACAGCGAGGGGCGTAGGTGTGTCTTCGTAAAAACTAATTTCAAGGGAGATCCATACGCCCAGAAAAATTTCGACTGCTTCGGCAGTTGGACGTTGAACCAGCGGAGAAGGCTGTCATCGGTGCCGGGTGTCTCGCGTAAGCGGCGAGTATGGGGTGTTTTGCGTAACGTACTGAGGTGGCTGCAACACCCGGCACCCTCACAGTCTACTATACTGGTGAGACCATATGACCATGGCACAAGAAACGTTTCCTATACCAAACGTCCACCGCTCACAGCTGCTGATACCGCCTTAAGACGAGCGCCAGTGACGACTGTGCTCTTTAAATCAAACTTTGCAATTGCTGCTCGACTGACATCCCCCCTCCACCACCCCGTTCTCTGGCGTCTGTTCACGCTCGGCTTAGACGAGTGGGGCTGTTTCTTGCATTCTTAAGGATTGGGTGGTGAAATGAATGGGCGGGAGAATAAATCATCATTTAAGCGACGGAGGATGGGCTGCTTCTTTGATCTCCGCTTCAGTTGCGTCCATTGCCTTTGCCTGCTTAGACACTGGTAGAATGTGTGAGGCGCTGGGAGGTCGTAGCAATTTCGACCTAAACCCGTCTAGAGTGTCCATATATTCTTTCGCAAGTATAGACAGCTTCCACAAGTTACGTTAGGTTAGACTAGACTAGAGTGTGGTAGATCAGCTGAGTGCTAAAAAATTTGGCGAATCCCACGCACGGTGGGAATCGATGATATGCGAAGCACGAATGAGAAATGTTGATATATCACTTTAAAATGAGCACAACTTTACGACGTGGAGGTACATTATGCCCTGTATGACTTCTGTGTCATGATTATCATGTTTGGATGTGTTGTTTACCTTCGTCATCTATTCACGTCACGTGATGCCAAATTTAAAGTATGTGGAGCTAGCGAAACAGCTGCAAGCACGCTATAAGCGTGGTATGTTGTCATGTTCTTACATTACACGCGCCTCATGATTAACATGTTCGCACCAGTCTCATACCATCTTCATTCATTAACCTCATGTAACACCAAATTTAGTATATGTGAAGCTAGCGAAACGGCCTCGAGTGCATAAATAAAGGCCAAGTATACTCTTACGTAACGTTGACGCAATCGCACGCTCGGCACAGCCACGCTACATTAGCAAAACGCGAGCACTCTTCAGTCTGACGACAAGCGGGACCAGCGCGACTAGCGTCCGTCGGTGCGGCCTGATGGCAACCGGCGCGAAATGCGACATGCTGCATTTGGCACGAATGTGTTACCCAGACAACACTGCGTCGGCCTCTTTTCGGGACGGAGGGACGCCGGACGCGCTGAAACGCGCATGCGTCAAAGCAACGCAGCGCGCGCCTGCGAGTTTATGGCAGGACAAGCGCCTGGCGGGGCCACGCCGGCATGACGCGATGAAACAAACGCCAGAGCGCAAGCGCCGGGTCACATCGAAGTGTGTTGCCAGTTTGACTGTGGCATGTAGTCTTGTTCTCACATGACACGCATCTCATGATTATCATGTCTGCACCAGTCACATACCTTCGTCATCCATCATCCATTAACGTCACGTAATATCAAATTTGGCATATGATTGATTGATATGTAGGGTTTAACGTCTCAAAACCACTATATGATTATGAGAGACGCCGTAGTGGAGGGCTCCGGAAATTTAGACCACCTGGGGTTCTTTAACGTGCACCCAAATCTGAGCACACGGGCCTACAACATTTCCGCCTCCATCGGAAATGCAGCCGCCGCAGCCGGGATTTGAACCCGCACCCTGCGGGTCAGCAGCCGAGTACCTTAGCCACTAGACCACCGCGGCGGGGCAAAATTTGGCATATGTAAAGCTCGCTAAACGGCTGTGAGCGCATCAAGAGTGTGGCACGTAGTCGTGACACGTATGTCGTGATTATCATGTTTGAATGTGTCATTTAACTATGACGTTCATTCGCGTCACGTAATACCGAATTTCATATATCGTAAGCTACCGAAACGGCCAGCAACGCATCATGAGTGTGGCATGTAGTCATGTTGTTACATGACGCGCATCTCATGATTGTCATGTTTGCACCAATTAGATACCTTCGTCATTCATTCACGTACCGTAATACCAAACTTGGTATATATGACGCTTGCGAAATGGCCGAGAGCGCATCATGAGCGTGGCATGTAGTCATGGTGTAACATGAAACGCATGTCGCGATTTTCATGTTAGGGTAATCTCCAAGCCAAAACATCTCCAAACCACACACGGAACAAGAAGCACGAAGATTACACAAATTCGTGTACTTCCCATCATTGGCTGTGTGGGTGTTCACGTGCCTGGCGTCTGTATGTTTTATCGTATATAGCGTCTAAAATGGCCACCATTCGCTGTCTGTAATGAAGGATATGCCCGACGTTGCGTTCGCTGGTGTACATGGACTCCAACAGCCACCAAGCTTCGACTACAACAACCAAACTTCATGGTCTACCTGGATCAAGCAGTTCGAGGGCTATGCCTACGCTACTGGAATACACAGAGCTGCCTAAAACTTTCGGGTACGAACACTTTTTTATTGCGTGGTTCTTCAAGCTTTACGCGTTTTTGCATCTCTCAATTTCACTCGTTCCCGCCGCCGTCCCGTCTGCGGGAGCCGCGGGGGACCTTCTCCGTCGGCGACGCCGCCGCTGGGAGGCGGCGCTCAGAAGCTCGGAGCTCAACGACCAGCTCTGGGCTGTCCGGCAGGCCGAAGATGCCGCCCGAGTTCAGGGACTCAGCGCCGCCATCTGAGGCCACCAAACCAAGCTGCCGGCCAAGTTCTAATAAAGTTTCCTCTCTCTCTCTCTCTCTCAATTTCACTGCTGCAGAAGTTCTGGCGTACAGCGTTGTAAAAAGCAAGTGCACCTCATACTCGTTCACGTGCTAAACAAACTTTTGTTAAACGAAAACGAAGGCAGCAAGCAGGTGAACGCGTTGATGGTTTTATTCTGCGTTGCGAAACAAGGTCAACAGGTGCAATACTTTTTTGCAGACTAGTTGGTTCATACTTGAAAAATTGAATTGCTGCACAAACTTGAAGAAAAAAACAAGAGAGACAGGAAAGAGTGCAGACTACCAACTGTTTATTGTCGTTTTTTGAAGCCAATATATACATGCTACGCTGCGCTTCCACGATGCGCACAAAACCAAAGACGCCGCAAACAAAGCCGACCAAATCAAATAAAAATTGACTGCCACCACAATGACAAACGTGAAAAATGGCAAAATACAAAAGTGATACCCACCACGATCTAAACTGCTTACTCCCAAGGTGTGCGCTCATCTTTTATCTTTTATTATTCATTGCACCAAGCATCAACTAAAGCATGAAAAAAGGAAAAGATGTTCTAGAGATTTTCGTTTTAAAACCCTAAAAATAGCGCTTAGCACCAAATAAAACAATAAATTAACATTTTCATATTCACTCCAAGCAGCCCCAAATGAGAAACCAGAAGAAGCAGTACGCCGAGAGAGTCAAAAACTATACTAACATAAAATCTAACAAAACAATCCGTAGCGTCACATGGGAAAGAAAACAAGAACACTAATAAACAACACAAAGAAAGATGAATGGAAGAGAACACAATGCAAGGCGTTAGCCACAACATTACACATGGCCTTGCAGGAAGACCATTTCCCTGTCCGAAAGTGAAATGGAAGGCATGCTTATGCACTTGTCATCATATTGCCTGATAAAGTACGCTTCAATTATCTCTCTTTCGGTCTTTTCACGCGCCTTAGCCATGACTGACGCACTCTCGAAACGGGGGGTGCAACCGCATGTCCTACAGTGGAAATCTAAATGACCGCCATTTTTTCCTTTTACGGCCAGACTGTGCTCACGCAAGCGTTCGTTGAGGCAACGCCCCGTCTGCCCTATGTACACCCTCCCACACGACAAAGGAATCAGATATACAACCGCAAATACACACCTAATGAACACGTTCGCATGCTTTTTTGTGCATTTGGCCTTCTTCTGTTTAGTCATTAACGAGCAGATCTGACGTAACTTTGTAGGCGCAGAAAACAGTACATCAACACCGTACCTATTAGCCACCTTTTTTACATTATGGGAAACACTATGTAAGCAAGGCATAACATGAATAGGCCTCTTCTCCCTTCCTTCGTCATTTGGACCCCCGCCCTTGTATTTTTTAAGAAGGCTTTCACAAGCGCTAGCTAAAAACTGTGCTCGGTACCCAGCCGCACCCAGACGAGCTACCTGGTCCTCGAAGCTTTCAGAGATCAGATGAGGGCAAGACTTGTCGAGGGCTTCCGCACAAGCTGACAACACAATGCCCCTCTTAATCAACTTCGAGTGCGCACTATCAAAAGGCAACAAGCCTTTCTTCGATCGCGGATTGTACTTGAAGCAGATGTGCTCCTTGGCAAACTTCAGCCGTAGGTCCAGAAACTTCAGCCGTAGGTCCAGCCGTAGGTCCAGAACTTCAGGCCACTCCAGTGGCCTGAAGTTCACGCACGAAATGCCGGTTGATAATGAGATCCAGTTTCTGGACCTACGGCTGAAGTTTGCCAAGGAGCACATCTGCTTCAAGTACAATCCGCGATCGAAGTAAGGCTTGTTGCCTTTTGATAGTGCGCACTCGAAGTTGATTAAGAGGGGCATTGTGTTGTCAGCTTGTGCGGAAGCCCTCGACAAGTCTTGCCCTCATCTGATCTCTGAAAGCTTCGAGGACCAGGTAGCTCGTCTGGGTGCGGCTGGGTACCCAGCACAGTTTTTAGCTAGCGCTTGTGAAAGCCTTCTTAAAAAATACAAGGGCGGGGGTCCAAATGACGAAGGAAGGGAGAAGAGGCCTATTCATGTTATGCCTTACTTACATAGTGTTTCCCATAATGTAAAAAAGGTGGCTAATAGGTACGGTGTTGATGTACTGTTTTCTGCGCCTACAAAGTTACGTCAGATCTGCTCGTTAATGACTAAACAGAAGAAGGCCAAATGCACAAAAAAGCATGCGAACGTGTTCATTAGGTGTGTATTTGCGGTTGTATATCTGATTCCTTTGTCGTGTGGGAGGGTGTACATAGGGCAGACGGGGCGTTGCCTCAACGAACGCTTGCGTGAGCACAGTCTGGCCGTAAAAGGAAAAAATGGCGGTCATTTATATTTCCACTGTAGGACATGCGGTTGCACCCCCCGTTTCGAGAGTGCGTCAGTCATGGCTAAGGCGCGTGAAAAGACCGAAAGAGAGATAATTGAAGCGTACTTTATCAGGCAATATGATGACAAGTGCATAAGCATGCCTTCCATTTCACTTTCGGACAGGGAAATGGTCTTCCTGCAAGGCCATGTGTAATGTTGTGGCTAACGCCTTGCATTGTGTTCTCTTCCATTCATCTTTCTTTGTGTTGTTTATTAGTGTTCTTGTTTTCTTTCCCATGTGACGCTACGGATTGTTTTGTTAGATTTTATGTTAGTATAGTTTTTGACTCTCTCGGCGTACTGCTTCTTCTGGTTTCTCATTTGGGGCTGCTTGGAGTGAATATGAAAATGTTAATTTATTGTTTTATTTGGTGCTAAGCGCTATTTTTAGGGTTTTAAAACGAAAATCTCTAGAACATGTTTTCCTTTTTTCATGCTTTAGTTGATGCTTGGTGCAATGAATAATAAAAGATAAAAGATGAGCGCACACCTTGGGAGTAAGCAGTTTAGATCGTGGTGGGTATCACTTTTGTATTTTGCCATTTTTCACGTTTGTCATTGTGGTGGCAGTCAATTTTGATTTGATTTGGTCGGCTTTGTTTGCGGCGTCTTTGGTTTTGTGCGCATCGTGGAAGCGCAGCGTAGCATGTATATATTGGCTTCAAAAAACGACAATAAACAGTTGGTAGTCTGCACTCTTTCCTGTCTCTCGTTTTTTTTCTTCAAGTTTGTGCAGCAATTCAATTTTTCAACAGGTGCAGCTACGGCTCAGCGTCTATAGTTCAAGATGAATTTTTGTAGGCTTGCCGGACAACAGACAATCGCACTTCTATGCCGCACTTCTGACTTGACGCTGAACAAACCGCTTCTGCACGCACGGCCGATAAATATGCCGAAAGAGCAAGAAAAAAAAGACAGATCCCACGTACAGAGGGAGTCGATGATATGAGAAGCACGAATGGGAAGCACGAAGCACGAATGTTGATATGTCACTTTGAAATGTTACGAGGTGGAGGTAAATGATGCCGTACATGACTTCCGTGTCTTTATTATCATGTTTGTATGTGTCGTTTACCTTTGTCATCTATTCAGGTCACGTGATACCAAATTTAGTATATGTGAAGCTAGGGAAACGGCTACGAGCACGCCACGAGCGTGGTGTGTTGTCATATTCTTACTTTAAACGTGTGTCAGGATTATCATGTTTGCACCAGCCATTTATTTTGTCATCTATTGACGTCACGTAACACCAAATTTAGTATATGGTGGAGCTAGCAAAACGGCCACGAACGCATTATGAAGGGCCCAATATGCTCCCATGTAGTGTTAACGCGCGCACGCTAAAAGCAGCGACGCTACTTTAGTAAAACGTGAGCGCTCTATAGTTTGACGCCAGCGTCTCTCGGCACGGGCCATCGGCAACCAGCGCGAATAGCGACATGCTGCATTTCGTGCCAATGCGTTACTCAGACAACACTGCATCTCCCTCGTTTCGTGACGGAGAGACGCCGGACGCGCTGAAACGCACAGACGTCAAAGGAATGCAGCGCGGTGCGCGCCTGCGTGTATATGGCAGGATTGGCGCCTGGCGTGGCAACGCCGGCATGACGCAACGAAATGAATGCCGGCGAGCACGCTCACCGCGTCACGTTGAAATGTATTGGCGCCTTGACTGTGGCATGTAGTCATGCTCTGACTTGACACGATTCTCATGATTATCATGTTTATCATACCTTCGTAATTCATTGGCGTCACGTAATACCAAATTCGGCATCTGTAAAACTAGCGAAAGGCCGCGAGCGCATCATCAGTGTGGCATGTAGTCATGTTGTTACATGGCACGCATGTCGTGATTATCGTGTTTGGAAGTGTCATTTACCTATGTCATTCATTCGCGTCGCGCAATAGCGAGTTTGGTACATGTGAAGCTAGCGAAACGGCCTTGATCGCATCATGAGCGTAGCATGTAGTCATGTTGTTACATGACACGCATCTCATGTTTATCATGTTTGTACCAGTATCATTCCTTCGTCATATATTTCCGTCCTGTAATTTCACTGTTTGGTATAAGTGAAGCGAGCTAAACGGCCGCCAGCGTATCATAATCGTGGCATGTAGTCATGTTGTTACATGACACGCATGTCATGACTTTCATGTTAGTGTCTGTCGCTTGTGCTCGCCATGCAATCATGCCAAACCATACCAGTTTTGCAACATGTCATTGGAACAAAATCAATGCAGGAGCTGCAGGGCCATGAAATGTAAATCATCACCTTCATGACATACATCTGATGATTTTCATGTTATGACTAGTCAAATATATTCGTCATACAGTCATGTCATGTCATACCAAGTTTGGTATAGATACCCTTATCGACGCGGCCAGGAGAGCTAAAAGCCATATGCGGCTAGATAGATAGATAGATAGATAGATAGATAGATAGATTCAAATTCGCCGAAGTTCGCTAAGAAATGCAGAACCATGAGTAGCATCCGAAGCAGCACATGAGTCTATTTAATGTTCCGTTCATCACAGAACCTTGTCAGATGTTAACGCTTTCTTGCAAGTGAAGCACAGCATGATTTCACTGCCGTTTATGTTGCTGTTAACTGTTCTGAACTTTTATTGGAACATGCCATGTTAGTGCATCGCCGCGCTACGCGTGAGAACGTTGGTTCATTGCGCGTCTGCAGAATCCCGTTCGACGACGCCATCACATATTGCTGGAAGAGTGTAAGGGGGAGAGGACATATCACTTTCCCATCCCCTAACACAGGCCGGAACGCGCTAGTATGTGAGCGCAGTGTGGTAGTGCTTGGACCTGCTGTTCCGCCTGTTTAGTGAGAGTGGTCATGCGAAGCAGATGTAATTCCACTAAAAGCTCCTTAGAATGTTGAAAGGAAAGGGAAAAGCAGTCATCTGGGTCAGTCATCTTGGATGCACTGAAGCAGAGTTTAGTGAAAAGACAGCCACATAAGCGAGCATCAGCACCGAGAGAGACACCCTCCGCCGACGGGGATAGTGTCGATTCTGCCGACGAGAGTCACATCAACTGAAAGTTTCTTCTGCCGAGAAAGCGGTTTGCAAATGCTGCAAAAAGAAAGAACACTACGAAGTAGTCTGCTTAGCCAAACATGTTCGCTCAGCAAAATGTCCCATGCCATAGAGATGCATACTGTCAAGACCAGTCGGGAAGCAAACGCTACTTTCGTTTTGCCGCACGTGAACAGCATCCCAAGTAAGTTCAAGGTGAATTCAGGAATGGAAGTTACTGTCCTTCCAAGCATAGAGTTTCCTAAAATAACAAGAGGGCACTCTGGTGCTGCGATCGTTCAGCGAACATGGGAATGATGGGTAGTACACAACTTTGCCTAGTCTTCGTACTTACGGGCGGCGAATCGTACTTGCGGCTTCGTTTATTGCTGGTTACGGTTTCGTTTTAAAGAAAAGAATGAACGCTATTGAACTTCGTCACCTGATTTTAAAAGGTAAATTAAAAAAAAAGGTGTTGAAGCAGAACCGCTGGACATTTGCTGACTTTTTGTTTCGTGAGAAAACAGCTCCAAGCCACACAAACACAGACGGAGCCAGAAGCAGGTCGAAAGTACGAAGATTAGACAAATGAACGTACTACCCATCACTTTTATGCTCGCTGAAGCGCCATGCGTTGCAGCTCCCGTAGACACTAGCGCCAGAGTTCCCTCTAGTGTATATTAGGGGCGAAGCTCCTTATAGCGGCGCCCGTTCGTCCCGCGTAGTATGTAACCAGTCTAGCGCTTTGACATGCAAACATTTTGACCTCCAAGGTGGTGCTGGTGAGAGATTCCTTCTGTGCGTTGTTGAACAACAAAAAATAGTGCTCAATGTACATGCCAATAGCTGATAATGGGGTATGAGAGACAGGAGCATTCGGCTTTTAGTTAACGTGCACGCTGCGATCCCCATTAGCAGCCATTGCATGTACATTGAGCACCATATCAAGGGAAAAGGTTGCTACGTTATATCCGCTGGGTGTAACCACCATAGTTTTAGAAAGGTTTAGCGAGCGTTGAGCCGCAGTGCCATGAATACAATGAACTAGTGTATATCATGAATGAACTCGAGGTAGTTGAAGGTGGGAAGTAGGTTCGAAGTGCAAGCCGTAAGAAAGTAAAAGCCGAATTCTCCTGTCTCTCATTTCCCATGCAGCCATTGGTATGTACATTGAGCTCTATCTGCCAGGAAAAGGTTGCTACGTTTTACTCGCTGGGCGTAACCTCCTTGGTTTTAGAAAGGTTTAGCGAGTGTTGGGCCGCAGTGCCATGAATACAGTGAACTAGTATATACCATGAACTCGAGGTGGTTAAAGGTGGGAAGTAGACCCGAAGCGCAAGCTGTTAGAAAGTGTGCGTGTGCCACCTCTCATTTGGTCCTTGAAATGTCCGCTGGATGGCGGTGTTTCTATATGGGGAACATATGATGAAAAGATGCGAGATGGTGGTACTTGGAGTGTTGAACAGATGAACGAACGGACACACACACAGATGCATGAATGGACGCATGAACGGACGCAGGGGCGGATGCATGGACGAACTGAGAATAGACCATTTTCAAAATTCTAGCACATATCAAATGAAACCAAAAACATATTTTTTCCCGCCATGACCTGTTCACCCATGGTGATGCGCGCTCCTGATACCAGTACGTGTATACCGCTGCGTCTGTGGGTTGTGGCTGGCAGTCGGTGAAACGCCCGAGAGGACGCACAGCGGGCATTTTAAGGAGCGGCGTCACTGCGTTTCTTGCATCACCTCTTCGGGCGGTGGACGAGTTATTATGACTGGCCGAGTAATGACTTGGCCTACAAGAGACGCTCATCGGCGTACGGTTCATACGCGGTACACATCCTGGAGGAATGCAAGCGATGTCCATGTGCGCTGCAGGGAACGCTCACCGGCGTCGCTGGGACACGCAGCCCATCAGCTCACATAAGTTAACAAGATACGGCGGCAGAGCCTTGTTGCCAGACTGAATTTTCTGAAGGATCTATTGGCTAGCATTCTAAAGCAACAACCGAAGGTCGTCAACGTGACAAGCGACATCCTGGTTTTCAGAAAATACCGTGAAGACTACGACAAACGACCTGTGGAGGTTCTGCAGCGTCTGAGGAGAACTGGAGTAAACAAGTCCAAGCGTCGCTTCGGTCAAGACCGAGTTCAGTTTCTGGGTGTGGTCGTCAATGCCAATAGCCTCTCGCCGAGTCCCAGCAAAATCGAAGCCCTACGCAAATTAAAGCCCCCCCCCCCCCATCTCCCAATGACGTTGCTAGCTGTTACACGCTTCCTCGGCATTGCTAATCACAAGAGACTGGACTGTAAGCAAATGCCTATTTTGTTTGTTACGTTGCTGTTATGCCACTTTGATATATGGGCATAAATTGTGCGTAATATTAGTTTTTATAGTGTTTTATAGTGCCTATTTTGGACGTTTGGGTCTAAACTCCTATGAGTGCCTATAAATCCTTCTTTGCAAAATTGGTACCTATATTATTGCTATTTATTTAATCTTACCTTTTGCTTTCGAGTACAGTTAGCGATGGCTCACTACATTAACGAGAAAAATTGAGCTTTCAGAAATCTATGAGGTGCAAGCTATACTCCATCTTATAGGTTCATATCAGCACTGTCAAAGCTACAAGATCTCTTAGCCAATAGGAAGACCGATTAGCATCAACATATGTATTAATCCGCGTCACGTCGTCTGCTCGGCTTACCCCTGGTGTCTGGTCCCATGCAGAGGAAACGCTTGATGCTTCTGTGCAACAAATGCAAAACAATCAAATGCCATCAGGGGCGAGTAGAGTGTAGATAGAAAAAAGATACCACGTCTATTTTGTTTTGTAGCCATTTATTACTTAAACGGCAATTCACTAGGTGAGATGAGAAATTTTACTTAGGCACTGGAACTTGTTGCGAGCCCAATGAAAAGCTTTGTACCATTATAATTTTTTTGGGTCATTACAAGCTGCGAAAGCATGCTGCGAGGAGGTGACCTTGAAACCTTTGCCACTAACCAGCCGTAGACTTCGCAAGCCGAATTCCTTTCCTTCGCTCTTTCGTATTGGATGAACTCGTTGCCTGAAGATCCTACGACGTAGACGCATCAATATGTCATTCGCACACAATGTTACATTCGCTTGACATGCGCATACCAGGTCATGAACGCACGTGGCGTTGTGTCATTTCGACGTTCTCTGTACTGTACTGCCTGTTTCTGTGGGGTCATGTTTGGGGAAGTTGGTATGAATCATGTATTTTTACAACGACACACAACGTCGCACCACTCGATATAATCTAAGAGAAGATGCACCAGAAACACGCCAAGAGTTGTGAATGCTGGCTGCGGTACAATCCGATAAGGGCGAGAACACCAACGCAAACGAAATTGAGGCAGCTTAGTCTCGCATCTTCCTCAATTCAAAGTTAAAAATAACAAAGCGCATAGATTCTGTTTATATGTTTTAATGTTTCTCTAAACCTTCATAATTCTGTCCAGGCAACACATGGCACAAATTATACACGTTGCCTCTACTAATTCTCGCAGCGACACGTACTACTTGGATGTACGCGGGACCTTTCCTTGTTGTATACGTCGCTTCACTTTGTTTGGGCGCACTCCAATTATGGTGAAGGTCAAATGGCGTTCGGTTTAACATTCGACCTCTTTCCGGGGTGCGTAGCATTGCAAATCTTAGCAGATGAAATAATGAGCGTCCAATGCTAGCATTCTTTTTGCTTTCTCGGACTTCTCAAACCTGATGAAGGGCCCTTATATAAAAAAGGTCGTGGTCTAACCATGTCCTCTTGATGACCTTACGACCTAATGCCGCCGCTCCCCGTGTCACCATATTTCCTATTGCTTGTTTTTTAGCTCTCTAAAGTGTCACAGCACGAGGAACAGCACGCCGTCGCGCTACAACTTACCCCGCTCTCTGCAGCCGTCAAACCGCTTTTCTGCACGCGCGTGCGCGCGTTCGCTCGGTTTTCTTTTTCGTTGTTGTTGTTTTAGGGGCGAAGGTTCTTATAGCGAAACCCGTTCGCCCCTCGTAGTCGTTGTAGTAGTGCATAACAAGTATAACAGTTTGACCTCCAATGTGGTGCTAGTGAGAGATTTCTTCTGCGTGTTGTTGAACAATAAAAGATAGGGCTCAATGTACATGCCAATGGCTGCTAAGGGGGACTGAGAGACAGGAGAATTCGGTTTTTAGTTAACGCGCACGCTGCGAATTTTTTATTGTTCAACAACGCACAGAAGACAAGAAAGGGTTGCTACGTTACGCTCGCTGGACGTAACCTCTAAGTTTTAGAAAGGTTTAGCGACAGTTGTGCCGCAGTGCCATGAATACAGTGAACTAGTATATATCATGGACTCGAGGTGGTTAAAGGTGGGAAATAGGCACGAAGCGCAAGCCGTAAGAAAGTGTGCGTGTGCCTCCTCTCGTTCAGTCCTTGGAATATCCGCTGGATGGCGGTGCTTCTTTATGAGGAATATATGATGAAAAGATGCGAGATGGTGGTACTTGGAATGTTGAATAGGTGGACGAACGGACACACAGCCAGATTCATGGACAAACGCACGGATGGCTGCACGGATGGATGGACGCATGGACGGACGCAGGAGCGCATGCATGGACGAAAGCAGGGACGAAAGCAGGGACGGACGCACAGATGAACGTGCGGACGCACGAACAGCCGCACGCACCGGCGGGCGGAATGGACGCACGCATGGATGGACAGAAGGAAGCAAGAACGAATGGAATGACGGATGCTTCGCCCCACTATCCATCATTCACTCCGTGGATATGCTGCCGCCTTTTTTTTTTTTTTTTTGAGGCGCTAGCGCAGAGATTGAGGTCCGGTAATGCAGACCCCAGAGTCAACCACCGTGGTGCTTCTGACCGCTAGAATGTTGGTTTTAGACGCTTAATTCGTGAATTGCTTGATCCACGCGTTAAAAACTGAAAAACAATTGCAGCATATCCACGGAGGGAATGATGGAGAGTGGGGCGAAGCATTCATCCGTCCATGCGTCCGTCTGTGTGACCGTCTATGCGTCTGTTCGTGCACCCGTCCCTGCGTTCGTTCATGCATCCGCCCCTGCGTCCGTTCAGGCGTCCATCCATGCATCTGCCTTTGTGTCCGTTTGTCCATCTAATCAACACTCCAAGTCCCACCATCTCGCATCTTTTCATCATATATTCCCCATATAGGAGCACCGCCATTCAGTGGACATTCCAAGGACTAAACGAGAGGTGGCACACGCACACTTTCTTACGGCTTGCGCTTCGGGTCTACTTCCCACATTCAACCACCTTGAGTTCATGGTATATACTAGTTCCCTGTATTCACGGCACTGCGGGCCAATGTTCGCTAAACCTTTCTAAAACCAAGGAGGTTACGCCCAGCGAGTATAACATAGCAACCTTTTCCTGTCAGATAGTGCTCAATGTACATGCCAGTGGCTGCTAATGTGAAATGAGAGACAGGAGAATTCAGCTTTTAATTTCTCACGGCTTGCGCTTCGTACCTGCTTCCCCCCTTTAACCACCTCGAATTCATTCATGGTATATACTAGTTCTTTGTATTCATGGCCCTGCGGCTCAACACTCGCTAAACCTTTCTAAAACTAAGGAGGTTACACCCAGCGAGTATAATGTAGCAACCTTTTCTTGTCCGATAGTGGTCAGTGTACATGCCAATGGCTGCTAATGGGGATCGCAGCGTGCGCGTCGACTAAAAGCCGAATGCTCCTGTCTCTCATTCCCCATTAGCAGCCATTGGCATGTACATTGAGCACTATTGTTTATTGTTAAACAACGCACAGAAGAAATCTCTCACCGGCATCACCTTGGAGGTCAAATGTTATACTTATTTCGGGTATGTGCCACTGGTGGTTACGTACTACGAGGGACGCCCAAGCCACGCCATAAGGAGCTTCGCCCCTAAAAACAATGAAAGGAAGGTGCACGCACGAGTGCACCATGACGTTCGTGCGTCGTCTGCTATGGGGATAAGTCATAACGTCACCTGGCGGCATCTCTGGTCTCTACGCGCCAATTTTCAGACCCAAACGCTTCCATAGTAGTTGCGCTGGTGAGCAGGTCGTAAGTTTATAGTGTAGGTTGCGGGTTAGACTAAGTTATTACGAGCCAAAAAGATCCATCTAGCGACCTAGCACCCTGGCTATTTGCTCCTGTGTTACCCTTCTCAGCCATTCAGCAAAGGAAGAGATCCAGGCGCGGGTTTATTCGGCGGTGGGCACTTTGCTCACTGTGTTCGACTGCAAACGAGACGACAGTATTCTGCAAACCCTACTTGAACAAAATTGCATGGCCATGCTTAACAACTGGCACCTTTGCACAATTATAAATTTGGACATCTCTGTTTACTTTCTTGTGGTAGACATACATACCACACGTATTTGCTAAAAAGTTCAATTTTCTAAAAGCTCATTGTGACTATATTATGTTTTGGGGGCCCTAAAATAGTGTTTCGTCTGCCTACTTTTGGTGCCTAAAACCCACTTTTTAGAGCCTATAGCTCCGGCCTCTAATAATCACACTAGTCGTATTCTGCCCTACCTTCTGCAGGCAACCACCCCTATGTGGTCTTGCTAGACTCGCTTTCATACATCAGGCGCAACGCTCTGGAGGCTAGCGAGATTTCTTCCAATGAATGTGTTAACGCTAAGAAATAGTACGTTCATCTTTCCGTATGAGCAGCTGGACGTGACGCATGTTTCTGCAGCTGCATTATATAGTAGCAACTCTTTCGTGTATTTTTGTCCTGTCAGGCTGCGCCAATCGCAACGTAGGAATCCGATACTGATAAACTTTTCGTTGTTTGTTGTTCCTCAGAGTCTTGGCGCAACCCACCACGGGTGATCGGCCATCAAACGGACGGTGCCTCATTTGTGATATCAAGTCGTTTTAAGCCGGGTCATTTAGATAGCGATGTTTAAGCAAAGAACCAATTAGTAAACAATAGGTGAGAAATAAAATGAAGAGAGGTAATAAAAATGAGCATGCTAATATAGTTTGAAATAAAGTGAATTTATGCCTCAGCTTAACGTTGTATTTGTTTTGATGCATTTCGAAAATCTCATACAGCCTTTCAAACGTTCCTGTGGCTAAATCCCTTTTTAGTTGCTCCAAAAGAAAGGACCACCGGAAAAAAAACATTTAGAGCTAACCTACGAAGAGGTTCTTCTACAGTCTATTCGTTTGATTTGTAGATAACCTGCATGTTAAGAGGAAATGATGAACGGATTCACTCTCACTGCAGTGGAAGCATAGGGGAGACTCTACCACGCCAGACCTGTATAGATGAAAATTCAGAGGGGGTGGGGGGAGGGGGCACACGGCATCATAGTCTCGTAATTGATATCTCTGCCATTCTACAAGAGCACTATCGATTTTTTCCAGAGATACTTAAGATGATAAAAATCAGATGTGAAGCGAGATTTTTAAAAATGATCTGACATGGCATTTTTAAAGCGTGGCATTCTAATAAATGTTCGCGTCGGCAATATAGAGATTATGGGATAGTCATGTAAGGCCACTGGGAGTGCGTCTGCATATACAGTGAGGGTTAAACCTTCATGCCCTGGCATCCACACCAAGCGATTGAGTCGTAAATGTCTTGGGCCAAGGGCATAAACTACTTTTAAAGCATTGGACATATTAGGCGCACTTAATGAACTACACGCACACATGCAGTCTGAAAAAATAATAGCATCTGTTATTGATTGAGGCA